TGTGTGTGTGTGTGTGTGTGTGTGTGTGTATAAAATGCAGGATGTCATTGTGGTCATTGTGAGTTTTAGGTGAGAGTAAGTTGTCATAAACATCCTCTTTTTGTCTAACAGAAATGGTTTGACTGAAAATCCATTTAGATGTTCCTTAATTCTCATCTTGTCACATTTGAGAAAAAGAGGAAAACCCCAGAATAATCTGGAATGCACGGACTGGAAGTTATGCTTGAACTGACATAAATATTTTTAAAAGATTAAAAAAAAAAAGAAGATCATTTTAAAACAATCGATCAGATATTTTGGGAAGTGTAGAGTAGATAATCTTTTAGGGATCTCGTAAACTTTTTAAATGACCTCCGTTAAGAGAAAACATTTGATTTTGACCAGATTGAAGAAGCTAACGGCTAATCCGAGCAGCACCGAGCTTTAATTGGATTGCTCCCATTTTCAAACTTAGATCTCAAACTTTTCATAGCAGTTTATGTCACTGCAGCTTCATAAACTTTGACAGATTTGCATTGCGTTGATGTTTATGTAAAATGATGTTGTTGTTTGCTAACACACATAACACTTCCTGTGCAGACAGGGGCACTTCCTGCAGGAGCCGCTACGAACTTTCTGGGACTATTTGGGACGACAGTATTTCTCTTAGCCCTGCTCAGACTAGCCTTTAGCTCATCAGTCTGATCAGACTTCACCAACTGAGGTCACTCAAAAAGTTGAAGTTTATATATTTAGGAGCCACAGATCAGTCCATAAGAAGCAGCTGCATTACGCCACATGTGGTCGACGATTAATTTTCTTCTGCAATCCTTAGCCACCTAAAATGATAAGTTTTTAAAATAAGTATAAATACAAATTAATGCAAACTAGCAAACACAAGTATAAAAAAAAATATGTAAACGTACAAATGTTAAATGTTAAATTCATAAGCATTAAAATGAAAAAGTCTAAATTAGCCTTGCTTAATGCTAACATGCTAATTAGCTCTCAAAAAGTCCTTTAGCTTTATGACAGTGCTTTTTTTAATTGGCTAAATATTTATTTTATGGCAATTATGGGAAATATTTTGCTTTTTTGTTTCATTTGTACACCAAAAATAAATTTTCTTTAACAAGTTTTAAATAACCTGATGCATGCTCAACAATCCAGGTAGAAAAATCTAAAAAAGTTAAATCTGGTCCTCTGGACATTCAAAAAAAACAAAAAGCAAAACAACAAAAAAATGTAGAAACGTTTCGTCTCTCATCCAAGAGACTTCCTCAGTCTGAGGTGCTGTATTCAGCTCAGTCTCTTAAATAGCACCTTCTCAGAGTGCAGAGTACTCAGCCCTCTGTGAATAGTAAACAGTCATCAGGGTGCTAATGATCCATTGTTAGGCTGATGGTCCTTCTTGAGCATGTGATCAGCTGGTTTTGGTTGTCAGCAGCAAAACTGGTTGATCCACTCTGAGAAGGTGCTATTTAAGAGACTGAGCTGAAAACAGCACCTCAGACTGAGGAAGTCTCTTGGATGAGAGACTAAACGTTTCTACATTTTTTTGTTGTTTTGCTTTGTTTTGTTTTTTCGAATGTCCAGAGGACCAGATTTAACTTTTTTAGAAGTTTTAAATAAATTCAAGTTTAAAGTTTTGTGAAGCTCATCCAGCTCACAGGATCCGTCACCAAAAATGATGCCTCGTTTTCAGTTAAACTTCCGTGTGTTGCTTATTGGTCCAACATGGAATTTATTTAATTCATTTTCTTTATTATTATTATTATTATTATTATTATTATTATTATTATTATTATGGTTTTATTATTTTGTAAAACTACTTGTGCACAGCTCCCATGTCATGTTTTTTGCTGTTGTGAAGCAGGTGGCCTGCTGCTGCAGCGTGGTGCACACTGAACATCTTGTTTTCAGAAATGTGCAGGAAAACCGTTGTGTGGGGCGAGATGAGAGGTGGAGCTCAGCAGCAACATCCTCAGCTGTTCATGGCGTCTCTGGGTGTTTTAAAGAGGCTCTCAATGTAACAAGCAAAGCATCGTCAAGGGAGACAATAAAAAATCTAAAGTTTAGAGACGCAGGTAATATGTTTAAAAAATACAGAAAGGAATTTATTTTATGTCATAATTATGGGATTTAAAAAAATTTTTTCGGCTGCTCCCTTCTTCAGGGGTTACCACAGCAAACTAACTCACACGAAGACTTGGCAATCGTTTTTATGCCGGTCCTGATGCAACTACAGACCACCGAGCTACCACAGCCCTCTGTGTGGAGCAGAGAGCTGCTAGGGAACTCGAGGGGAGCAGATGGTGGGGGTTAAGAGCCTTGCTCAAGGGCCTAGAGTGGGGCAAATGAGGGTGGAGGCAGGTGTGGGTATTTCACCTTTCCCACCCACGTTTTGATGTCAGTCCGGGGTGTCGAACCGTCGACCTTCCGATCACAGGCCATCTTCTCTAACTTCTGCGCCACCACTCCCTCATCGGATCAGTAACGTATTTATAATGTATTTCTATGAGGTTGATTTAAGGCACAGTAGAGGGAAGTAACATTACTGTGAAGTTATGGGAGCATATGAAATAATTCTGACAAAATTTTAAAAAATGTGAACAACTGTAATCTGTCAGGAACAACTGTTTTTACTGACGTCGCGTAAATAAATAAATAATTAAAACACGGTTACTGTTTCCCCGTGAGATGCTCTGAGGGTTAATGTTGACAGCACTGTTCACTCAAAAGATCGTTCTTGTCCACCGAGGGAAAAGAACTGTCACAACCTTTGAGC